TAGCCAAGAATTTCTTGTGAATTTTATCAAATTGGTGTAATAATTTTTGAACCATACCAAGTTGGTCTCATGTTCTTTTATACGATATGATTCATACCATATAAGTGTGTAAGAAAATAAAAAACGAGAGAGGGAGAGGGAGAGAAACTAAGGGAGAGCGATAGAAATTAAGGGAGAAGGAGAAATCGACCGAGAAAGAGAATGGGAGAGATTGGGGGAGAACGATAAGTAGAGATAGAGAATGAGAGTAATTGATGAAGAGAACGTAAATACAGAAACCAAAAACCATTTTTATTTATTTTCAAATCACATAGTCATTGTGCAGATAAAGATGACTATGAGTGAAAGAGTGTAAGCGAGATTGAGAGAGAGAGAGAGAGAAACTAAAAACCAATTTTTTTATTTTCCAATCACCCAACATTAAATGGAAATTTCAGTATAAGCTTTTTATCATGTCCAATATGGATTAAGAGTCTCATGTTGGCATTAGCCACATAACCCTTCGATGACATGGCGAGGGTTTTTATAACTTGAAATGTAGAGCTATTTGTTAGAGTATTGTTGGTTTATGGACCTTGTAACCAAATTTTAAATGTATAGTTGGATCAGACTATAATTTTCCCTAATTTAAAACTAATCCAAAAGCAATGTTGTTTCTTATCTAGATGGTGGGTCAATGATCCAACTTTTCAAAAAAAAAAAATGCATGATGTCATAATTGAATAATAAATATTTAAGTTTATTTTTAATCATATTGTTACTTTTTTTTTAATTTTCAATTTCTATCTTAATTATGATATATCTAAAATTCAAGTAATTAATATGAAAAAAAATCTCACGTGCAATGCATGTGCTTAATTACTAGTATATATATATACATACACACACACACACACACACACACACACACACACACACACTAGTGGGGACCCGTGCAATGCACGGGTTTTGTTAAGCAAAAGTTAAACAATAGAAATACATAAGAGTATATGATTATTTTATATTTTAACTTTTTAATAACTAATTTGATCGAATTCGACCCAAGTTGGTCGATTTTTTAGTATTTCTAATCAACTTTGGGTCTAAAATTTCCAAAATATTCTAATAACTTAAAATAATTACTTAATACATTGTAACTAAACTTTCAAAATTTTTCCAAAAGTACAATATTATATCTTTTAATTTCCAAAATGCTATTTTATGAAAATTTTTGAAAAAATTATTACATTTGTGTAATTATGGAGGTTTATTGAAAAATATTTTAATTTTTATTAAATATTTAGTTTTATTAAGTAGTTTACTAACAAAATTACACTAATTTATCTTTTATTTTCCAATATACATTAATTAATAATTTCATTTTCCAACATTATAATATTGTATTCCCCATCTGCATTCAATTATTAACTATAATAATAGTAATAACTAAAATTTTATACTTTTCGATAATTGTTAAATATAATTCTTAATTTTATAGAAATTAGTTAAAGATATT